AAAAATGATTTATTCTTCTCAGATTTATCAAAATGTGAACATCAGAAGGCTTTCAAAGTGTGATATTGTTTGAAACACTCCGGGTTACATAGTGGAACATCACAATCTGGACAATAAAACCTTGTATCGCTTCGTTTTTTTTCTCGCTTGACTGTATGACTACAGACAAAACAGCGTTTCTTGACATTATCTCCTGGGATAAAATCGATGAAATGACGAGCAGTGAGGCGTAGTGGACAATCGGTTGATGGTCTGCCTTTTATTTGTGGCCGCTTTGACCCGTATTCTTCAATGAGCTCTCGAGCAAGTTGCAGACGGAACTCTGAAAGTTCTGAATTTTCCTCGTTTTTCATCTTGTACATGGCATAAGAGTTCTGCACGGCGATATCAAATAAATGGAAAAACAACTTTTTGTACCATTTTATTGTTTTTCGTAGACATTCCGAGAAACTGTTTTGCATGTCCACTTGGTCCACGGCTCCCATATTCTCGTTGTATTGTGCAATGCAGAGAGGTTTCTTGATTTTTCGACCTGTTTCTCTATCGTTCTTCCCAGTTTCCACCATAACAGGTTCATACAATGTGGTAAGCATGTGCACCTCTCTTTTGTCCATCCATTTGAGTGCTAACAGCTCACCAGTTGTTTGATAAGCTTGTTGTCCTTTTGAAAGTTCTCCAAACGATGGCATTCCACTTCTGTTTTTTCTCACTGTTCCACAAGCTTTTGTTTTTTCTTCCAGTAATCTTTCAAATAATGTAGGACTGGAATACCAATTATCGACGAAGAGAGTATGATTGTTCTTCAGATAATTTTTCATCAGTGTTAGTACTACTGAACCCGATATTCCAACCTCAGGGTAGCTATCAATTTCAGTTTCTGCCCCGGTGTAAATAATAAAGTTCAGGACGAATTTTGTATAACAGTCACATAATATGAAAAGCTTCACACCAAAACGGTGTCTTTTCGATGGAATGTATTGTTTGAAACTGAGGCGACCTTTCCATAACATCAAACTCTCATCAATGCACAAGTTTTCCCATGGAGTAACTGCTTTTTTGAATTTCTTTCTCAAATTGTCGACGATCGGCTGGATTTTTCGCAGCTTCCCTTCTTCTGTTGTATTGTCAGCAAAATGAAGATATCGAAGAATAGAAAGGTACCTGTTCCTGGTGAAAAGTTCTCCGAAAATTGGTGTTATCAGCAGCTTATCTGTTGACCAATAATCTTTTATGCGATTCTTTTGATTCAATCCCATCAAAATTGTAGTGGCGAAAAAGACATACATTTCTTCCACATTCGTGTCGTACCAAGCTGCAGTTTTTTCGGCAGTTGGAGCTGCATTTTGTTGTTGATAATTGTTAGTTTCTTCAACAATTTTCTGCATTAGTTCGTCGTCGAAAAATGCTCTGAAATAGTCAGATGGTTTGTTTCCTCCGATTTTAAATTCTCTGTTGATTCCTGATGCTCTATCGGAAAATTCCAACTCTTTGGGATCGAAACCAGATGGACGCCATTTTCTAGCAGCATGTCTTTTCTGAGCATTTGTAGCTGAAATGTAGTTATCTTCGTCTTCTTCATCCGTTGAGGACAGATCCAAATCACCAATCTGTGTCTCCAATGCTGAGTCCGAGTCGTCCAAAATTTCGTCGATTTCCATCTGATTGAGCGCGTCTTTTCTTGAAGTTGCCATATGTAGAATGGAGCTGATGAACCACGAACTGTGAAATCTTAGTCAACCTGAGTTTATTTCTGTATCAATATTCCTCTTCATAGCAATCTAAGGACTATATATAGATCGGTAACAAAAGGGAAAAATCCATACTAGTGGGAAGAAAGATAAGCAAAAAAAGAAAAAATGCATCCAACATATATTTATGACAGTAAGGGAAAAATCCAACACATATACAAATGACAGAATCGAAAAATTTATAACACATGAATGGTAGTGAGAGAGATAAAGATGCAGGTCATAACACAAACGTGTAAAATAAAGCA